AACACTTAAATGCCTTGCATACTTTCTTAAATGCTTCCTCAGAACCAGGAGCCTTATTCTTATCCGGATGAACTTTGAGGGACAATTTCCTGTAAGCCCTCCTAATCTCCTCAACGGAACAAGTCTTTTCCAAACCTAAGATCTTGTAATAGTCAGTTTTCCTTTTTATCTCTCTAACCAATTGAGCATGTTCTTCAGTATAATCTCTTTCCTCACTTATACTATCGCCACATTTTCCCAGGCCAGACTTAATCTTGTCAGCATCAGCACACGTTTCCTCAACAGTGGATGCAGATGACCCTGAGTCAAGCTTCTCACATGCAGTAAAAAGTTCTTCAACAGATAAACTACTATTGAGCCGCTGCGCAATCTTAATAAATTTCAATGCTCGCCCCTTATTACCCGATGAAATGGCTTCTTCAGCAAGTTTTATGCACCTTAATGCTTCATCCTTATTACCATCCATAATGCTAACCCGACTTCGAGTTTCAATGAACTAAATCACAAATTCAATCCTAAAATTTGCAGATAAAATGAATTAGAATCCCAGAGAACCAGATTTTCAATAAGCCGGGATCTCTAAATCCGAATTCTGGACCAAAATATGAGGGCCTAGATATCGAATTTTTTGAATCGGAGATCACCTATGTAAAATCAAACCTTAATTAGAGCTTTCGGAAGAAATTCGCGCGTAGATACCAGAGAAAATATGACGCATATTACACATACTCCGTAAGCCTATTAGAAACAGCAATTCAATATCCTAACTCCTAAATTTGTAGTACAAAGTTAAAATATAAATTGAATCATCCCAGTGTTGCATTTCATCAGATTGAAACCGGATAAAGTACTTACTCGATTCAGATTCAGAGAGGAACACCCGGAGAGAGAGAGAAGGTAGAGAGGGAGAGAGGTTTGGAAGACACCAAACCCATGAAGCAGAGGACGTGTTAGAATCGAGTAAACATATATAAAAGCGAGCTAGACTCAGGAAATGGAACCGAATGAGAGATCGCCACGTGGCAAGCCTCCCCGATTTAAAAAAGTGATACGTCTGCGGCCTCAGTCCGGTAAAAAAAATAATTTTATTTATTATTTTTAAACATGAATTTATAAATTTATTGTATTTTTTAATATTTTTACCCATTTGGTAAATAATTACCAATTTATGGGTTAAGCAAATTTTTATTGGTTAAACTAGCTTAGATTAGCTTAGGTCAAAACATAGAACTTGTTTTTGAATCCGTCTTACCTGTTTAAATATTTTATTAATTTTTTAAAATTTAAATTAAATTAATCAAAAACTGTTGGTATAATTTGATTATTTTAACTATTCAACTTAAGTATGTATCATTAAAGATTTTGTCGAACTAATTTAATTAAGATAAAATTAAATAAATTTTATAAATCTTTATTCATTTTTACATTTTTATAATTATAGGGTTATATTTGAATCAATTCTCATTAATTTTTAAGTAAAAATTAAATTTTTAAAAAATAAAAATTCATATTCACACCAAAAAAACGAGAATTTGAACATAAAAATTACATTATAAGACTACATTTTAATATTAATTATATAATTAAATAAGATTTGAACAAAATAAATTATACCTATACAAAATATTATCTAATAATAAAGTACATATATATATAATGCTAAAAATTTATATCACAAACTACATGGAGTTTTACTAATAATGTTAAAAAAAAATTTACTTTTATTAATTTTTTCGTTATAATATAATATTTAACAAATAATTTTTTAATATAGATCCATATTATATCAGTAACGATTTATATTACTAATAACAACATTTGAATAAAAAATTAAATTAATGGAGACTAATGAAATTTTAAATAATAATTAATGTATATCATATTTATTTTGGAATACCAATAGACAGTCTTTTTTCCAAAAATTGTAATCTGAACTTCCAATACTACAGTCCTAAGTACATTTATATTTACATCTCATACAACATTATCGTTATTTACTCTCTTAAGCTTGTGCTTTCTTTCTGCATCCTAAGGTTCCGGTCCAGGCAATGTATTTCTCTGACGGTTAGTTTTCATCATCAGAATTAAAAGACTGTCTTCTTCTTAAAGACTCCAATACACCTATAGGCCTGTGATGATTTCGACCACTGGTTCCTTCCTGATTAGATTTTAGTTTTGGAACACTGATGGAGCTAAGGGGCGGCGTGGGTGTTCCCTTGTTCACTTCCCTCAACACAGACTTTGCAATGGCTGCAGCAGCCATTTCGGAAGCAACTTTTGAATCCTGCAACTTGTTTCCACTTCCAACCTTAGAAACATTGGGTGAACGAAAAATGGTTGATTGAACTGTTGACTTGGTCTTAGCTGCTTCATACTTTTGTATGTCATAGATAAGCTCTTTCTGAAGCTGCTTATCGGCAACCAGTATATCGTCAATCTCATTCTTGTAGTCTTTGAGGAGGATTCGAAGGCATTCCATGAGGGAACCAATGAGAGGGCTGTTCTTGCTTTCCAACAACCGCTTTAGCTCTATGAAGATGGGAATGGTGTTCTGGATAAGGCCCCTTCTGACTGCTTGTGTTATAGCCCTTCCTTTCGCAGCAGCTGCACATGTTCCACCTTCTCCACCTTCTTCATCTAGGTCTGCTGTCTCTGATGCTGATCCACGAGATGGTGATATTCGAATCTCTTTGCAGGAAAGAATTTGAAAAGCATCCTGTTACAATGAAGTAGAATCAGTTTTCTACTCATCTAAAAACTCATCAAGTTAATGATCGATCATCCAGAAATCTTGGAGGGGCAAAGACTGAAGCTCATTTTAATGTATGAAAATGTTTCAACATCTCATTTCCTAAATTTCATTATGGCAATTTACTTGTCTGCTATAACAGAGAAATACACATGGCTGATTAAATTAAGGGAAGAAAAATCTTGAAGGAAGCTTATATGATTTTTTTTTTTTTCAATTTTTTCATTTAAGTTTTAATTCTGTTTTTCCTACTGTTGTCAGGATTGTGACAGTTCTATATGTAATAAGTCTATCTTATAGACAAGGGAAGTTTGGCACTTCCAAGAGAAGATACCTGATGTAGCAAAAAGAGAGTTTAAGCATAATACTTGGAGAAAATTATTAAGAAACTGGGGATTCCAGATTTTAATAATCAAATCAATAACTCAGTGTATAATAACCTATATGCTCTTCCTAATAACTAAGTTAAGGTACTCTATTTTAGATACCAAAATATAATCAGAATATAAAAATCTTAAGTCAAACTAGAAAATTCTACTAAATAGAAAAATAACTTAATGAATTGAAATAGTTCATTATAAAGAATTACTAGAAAAGATTCGGACTAAATAGGAAAAAGTAAACTTATATGATCAATAAGCCTATAGATACTAGTTCCTAAATAAGCTAAAGAATATATGCAAACAGAATTAAGAAGATAAATACATTTGCCTAAAAAAGTATCAAGTTTTTTTCCTAATTTCAAAGATTGGAAGAATTTCTCTCATTACTAGTCGTTCTCCTTGCTAAGAGATTGAAGAATTGTCTCTTAATGTGTCGTCACTCTCTTAGCCTCTGCCACAACAAGCTCATAACTAGATTTAATTCCATGGGACACTAACAAATTCATATACATATATGGCAATGGTTGGACACGAAAACAATGTTTAGAAAAATACTAGTGAAAATGTAACATGAGTACAAAAGAACAAAAACTTATATTATTTGTGTTCTCTATAAAACTATTTTCCTTCGTATTTGAATACCATGCAAATACATCATTCTAGATGTTTTTCTGTACTAGTATATGAATTTTGGAAGCAAAAACCAAAAAGAAATGCATGTACTGAACAAAGTCTTAAAACTTCTTTCCAGAGAATTCAAGGGGAGAGGGAAGCGATTACTGTTCCAGCTGCCCAGGCTAAAAAAAGTTGGCTAACAAAGAGTTAAAATAATCCATCCTGTTAAATTCTTTTTTCATGAAATTATCTGAGAGTGAAACCAGCTTAATCGAGATAAAATCCTTATGTGATCTCTATGTTAAAATGAGGACAGCATTTGATGGATTGCAGTTTAATGGCCGGAGCACTGAAGCACAACAGATACAAGTAAACTAATACCTGCAGAACAGACTGTCCAGTGACATCTTCTATATTAAGCATGCCATCTGATGTAGCTGCAAGGATCTCTGCGCATAACTTCGCAAAGGTGGCCAAGAGGTGTTCTGAAGCCATTTGTTTCAGCAAAGTCACATAAATGTGCATTCTTTTGGACCTAGAGCTTTCATCATTACCCCTGAAAAACCCCATATTTAAGTCTACATCCCAATTTTGAAGCTGGATCTAATTTTACCATCAATGATTATAGACACAAGCTCTACCTGATAGAAAAAGCTCGATTCTCTGTTTGTGAACCCTTAGGATTAGGATGTCCATTGTCTGCATGGCAGTCATTTAGGACATAAATGGCTTCCACAAAACTGTTGTAAGCTAAAAGGGGTGCCTTAGCTGCAAAAGTATTACGTGTAATGCTCAAAAGTACAACAAAAATGCAATCAAATTTTTATTGAGGATGTTTAACTGTTAAGTTTTTTAAGCTGTATACCTTTTAGAATATTCGCAAATAAGAAATCTGCCAGTTGTCTTATCTTTTTTGATTCATCAACAAGAGATAGAAGGAACCTAAGGAAGAGAACTCCTCTCCACTTCACATAATCCCTCTGAGTGCAGGAATAAGCTCGTGATTTTCATAAAGTTGAATGCTGATTGATCTTTGAAAATAAAGATGCGTAAATAACATTGAGAAAGGAAAGATACCTGCAATAATCTTGAAAGCAGAAGAAATGTCTGTCTCCTGACCAGTTCACATGGATCCCTCAGACACTTTGTGATCTTTGTTATGTAACTGTTTACTTCAAGAACCATTAATTAGAGGAAAGAAGATTTTTCTCAACTAGCTCTTTTCAATTTTATACTGTTCTCAACAGATAGTTTGACTATTGAAGAGATCACTTGAATGTAGTTCCTTACAGGACTCACCAATCAACCAAAGCAGTATAGCGGACACAAAAGTCCGCCATTGTTACGACCAGATTGTTGCGAAGCATTGCACAGTCACTCTTTTCAAGCTCCTGCAATAACAGATGCATACTGAGCTTTTTGGATTGCAGAAAGATAAATAATAATTATCTGGGTATTGGTGAGTGATATGAATATGTTGGAGTAACATGAAATGAAGATGGAAAGAAATTGAGAAGGAAGACATGTTAAAGTCAATGGACACAATGCTTGCAAATACAAGGAATCATGTAAATAATTTCATTGACTGCTTGCATTTATAAGTCAAGTTGAATACTTAAGCTGATTACTTTTCTAAGAGATCATGAGCATCACGTTAATTACTTCTGCTGAAATCATCTTAGGACCTTATAGAACAGGTGTACAGCTAAGTTTGTTATCATACCTGCACAAAAAGAGGAATGTATCTCTTTGCAAGTTTTCCATCTACCAAACAAATCTTCCCCATGGTTAACCATGCTTGAATATACAAGGAAGGGGCTGTTCGCTTCAAAGAGAGAGCAGGAACTGGTATTCTTTTTGACTTAGGATCTGAATTTGCTGAAGTTATGATGGTGTGAAGTAGTGGAATAATGGAGCTTATATCTGCTGAAGGACAGACAATAACCAAACACCCAATGGTATAAACAGCAGTGACTGTTTCTGATAACGATGTGGATATGGTAGCTGATCTCTTGGCTTTCTTAATCCCACTTGTAGGTGGTGTGAAGAAGCTACTATCTTTATTGTATTCTGTACTCTCTGAAATGTACTTCTCTAAAATTTTAGATGCTTTAGAGATAAGTCGCTCTGCCCACTTCATGACAAGGATACCTGCCTCTTCAATATTCACAGATTTCTGCTTGCACAATGTTCTGAGAGCTTTTACATGAGCATTAACCTGTCACCAGCACGCTAATTAGTTCTCATATGCACCAAAATTTTTAAGTTGGGACATGTCTAACCAACTTTGAGGTACTGGTATTACCAAAAATGAAAAACAAAGCATTGCTGCAACTCTGTACCCACTAAATGAATTATATGATAGATACCTCTGTTGAATGCATGTTGAACTCTTCAATTCGTTTAAGCATATTATGAGCCAAATCTGCAGCAAGTTCAGCAGGCAGCTCAACTGAAACATACGATATTGTTTGCAAGAGGAAAACACGATCTCCAGCCCATGCAACAGAATCAATTTCTAAGCACTTCCCATTTTCATGTGGATCTCCTTGCACTAGTGGGCTTCTGAGCTCATCTTGCCCACCATTCTTGTCAAGGAGCTGCCAATGGTGAAGGAGAAACTCCCAGTCCACTGCTTTGGGGAGATAAGCTGACAACTCCGATAGAAGAAACCAAGCACCAGGTGGGGCTGTCCACTTCTCTATGGGCAAAGAATAGCTTAACCAGAGAGATTCAGATGTCTTTATGATATTTTGGAGGGCATCAACAATTCTCGGCTTCAACCTTTTCTTCTTACCCAGCTGTGTGCAAATTTTCTTCACCCAAGGTGTGACCTCTCCGTTGCAGATCTGTTTCAAAAGCACCAAAGTCCCTACAGGAAATATTGAGCCAATCTCCTTATTAAAACTTTTCTCTTTCACATTTGAATCAGAAGAAAGAGATGTATTCCATGGAGAGACTGCAGATCCTGCTCTAGACACTCTCTCCAAAATCAATTCAAGAAACAAGTTCTCACATTCTTCTTGAATGCTAGATTCATTATCAGCAATCAAACGCGGAACAGAATGTAGCCACTCGATAGTTACACTTTCATTTGAAAATGTCCTGAAGGCCTATAAGTAAAATATATTAGTAGAAAATACAATCTATCCTTGTAGTGAAACAGAATTGAAAGACAGGATAATTCAAACCCGGGATATAAAATACTAAAGAGGAAATATGATAAATGATGATTATGGATATACAGCATTGAGGAGTAACTATACCTAGTTGACACTGTGATTACGAAACTGACACCACTTAACATGAATTCTCTGGTGCAAGTAAGCCAACAGAAAACAGAGTAACAGAAGAGAGGGAGAGAAGAAGAAGAAACTCAAGCTAATGAGGATTTCTTATAAATCCTAAAATGTACTTAGCAAATCCTTGTACAACTGCATTTATACTTGTCATAGACAGCTCGTTTTCTTATATTGCCTTTCCCTAACAAATCTCTGACCATAAATTTGTTATTATTAAACCAAGTCAGTTAAGATTCAACTACTACAGCTGCCAACTAACAGATTATTAGTTGATTAATTGTTAACCTCCCATGCATCAGATCCCCTCCACTGGCAGAAACACCCTTGTCTCAAGGGTAATGACATCAGGATCTCCTTGTTGATGTCATAGAGATAGTCCTCTGGATTCATGCCAGTCCACAAACAGGAATTTAGTTACAGGAATACAACCTTGTTTCACTATCCATCAGTCCAATATGGCCATAGGTTTCAGGGCGAGAAAGTCATCAAAGTTTGATAGGTGTGTAGAATGGTGAGGATAGAGGCCGCAATTAGGCCGGGAAACAAGAAAGCGAGGGTGAATAGAAGAGGTTTTAGGGAAATCAAGTTACATACAGCTTGGCCAACCTTAGCGATGACATAGTAGGGGTCCATCATATATAGGGGAAAGCTTATGGTTCGGCCAATGTTGGATAGAGTGTTGTTTGTATGGTTGAAGTTTAACATAGACAAAGTCACTGGGACTCAAGGTGCAATCTGCATGGTGCTTGTTTGTGTCTTATCTCTTAGACATGAAAACTGATTTGAGCAGGAAGCTAAAACAGTAGAAGAGATTTCCAGCATTTTAAAAGCAGAAGAATGAATTGATAAAGAGAGAGTCGGAGAAAGAAAAGAGGATTCCTGATTTCATTGAATTTGTGGATTTTCACTAATATAATTCTTATTCTCTCCATCAGATTCACACCCTTTTTTACACAATTCCACTGAAGGTTCAGCAATAACTTGCTAAGAATGTTGTTAACAGAAAAACAGAAAGGAAAAAACACAGAAACTTCATGAAATAAGAAAATGCAGGAAAATTAGAAATAAAGAATATTTCTAACACATTAGTTATGCAATTTCAGCATACATGTAACATCCTAACACATTAGTTTCACTCTTCTCTCACCTCCAGGTTTACCCATCTTTTTTGTACTATCAGCCAAGGTCCTTACAGTTTGCTTGTTGCTTCATTCAGTTTTGGTAGTAGCTAAATGTTGTTTCAGTAAGTTGATGATAATTTTCGGTTAGTAGCAAATGGTCAAGGGTTGCAATATTTGAATTGCCAGGAAGATAAGAAGATTGAGAGCAGGATGATTGTCATTGCCAACCCCGTTGTGACATAGAAGACTTTAAAATGACTGGTAGCTAAGTGGAATTTGGTGTTACACCACCACTTAATGGACAATCAAACAAAACCATTGTTTAGCATCCTCATGAGCCATGCAACGCAAGAAGGTTCCCGAACACCTTTTGACAAACTCAGTTTGTCCATACATTTGTTGATTGTAAGCCATAGAGTGCAGAAGCTCAATGCTAATTAACTTGAATACTTGAACCCAAAGTTAGTGAGGGAGATGGATTCACGATCACTAACAATACAAGTGGGGAAGGCATGTAGCTTGGAGACACTGTCCAGGTAAGCCCATGCCACTAACTAGGCTGTAAACAGATGCTATAAAGTGCTAAAGGAAGCATATCTGCTCATTCTGTCAACAACCAGAAAATATTATTTTTCCTGTGCAAAGCTTATCATTCTTTCATAAAAAATATATTGACACTACAGAAAACATATTTTAGGAATAGAAAATGGTTATAGTAATCCAGGATTTGGCAACATTTTCTGGTTTATACTGCTGATAGACATGGCATTGTCAAATAAAATTTCTGATACCACAGTACACAGCTTTCCAGCTAAGAATAGCTTGTAATTTCTTTTGTGTTGCGGTAACAACTGTGTTATAGTAATAACTGCATAGTATCACTGTACATGCCTTTCCTGCTGATGACAGCCTGTGATTTCTTTTGTCAACTGCAACACTGATGCCCTGGAGCATATCTATCATTCCAATCGAAACATCCATTTCTTGCCTTTTTATCATGCATTTCTGCTTTTTATAGTGTCTAACCCACATAGGAGTTGACTTTGCTGATAGGTTTATGGCATGGGTTGTAGGAAGATTTGGTTGAGGGTAATGGTAATAGAGGTGGTTTTTTAGGAGTAGGCAATCATGGTGGCTGAGTTTATGAGCTTTGGGAGAATGACTAAGGATTGTAACTAGATCTTCTTGGTGTCTAACTAAATCATAAGCTTGAGACAAAGCCCTTGGTTCTCACATCCGAACCATAGCCTTGATTTCATCTCTCAAAACTATTATGAAAGTAATGGTTTGACAGCCTTCTGGGGGAGATACTAAGACCCTTTTTTTTTCATTTAAACTCATCCAACAATCATTAGCAATGCCTTGCCAACTAGGTCTTACAGTTTCAAACATAGGATCATCATTGAATTTGCATACATTGCCGCCATATATTCCTCCCAACTCAGTTCCTTTACTGTTTGGTGATTTAACTTGAACATTTGGTGATTGGACTTTGGAGTGTCATGCCTTCGAGGTGAACAAAAACAGCTTAACTTTAGCCTCTGGAGGAGGACCATCAATTCCAAAGAATCTTTCACATTCATATAGCATCCTTTATAGGAAATTCCACTCTTGTAAATCGGCCAGGAATGTGGTAAGGTTCCTCAGAAAAATGATTACAAAGTAGATTGGTGTGGTTATGGGCTGAGTAGTTGCAGTCAGTGGTTGAGAAATAGTGGATGATTGTTGCTATTGAAATTAGCTTCTCGTAAGGGTGGGAAATTCTGTGATGTGGGACTAAGAGAGGATTTTCTTTACTTGGTCTTGGTGGGGTCGCCACTGATGTGCGCCAATTCACAAGAGCATTATTTGACTTCAGCTAATCATCTCTTCAGCCCTTCATAAATGTCATCTTCTCTTTTCCGAATTTCTCGTGCCTACTCTTCATCTTCATCTTTAGAATTTTACGAAACACAGCCCCTACCTGTATGGAACTTGGATCGACATCTCTGATTATCTTCAATACAACTTCAATTGTGTTCTCCAGTTCAAAACGCTCCTCACAAAAACTAGAGTAATAGGAAAAAGAGGAGAGAAAAATAATAAACTCAACGAGAAGAAGATTTCTTATTAATTATTAAATCTTCTTTGTGTATCCTTAAAATGGTATTTATATGTAACTATATGATACCTAACACTGTCTGTAACTAACTGATCCGTAGCATCTCAAATCTGCTCCATTCTCTTAAATTGGTTTTCCTTAACTGATTCCTACCTGACCTAACTAAATCTACTAGTATTTGACTAAGTCAGGGTTCAATTAGTTCAGTTGTTGACTGACAAATCTGTTGATTGACTAACTGTTACCCGAGCATCAGAAACAGTTTAGTAAATGAACCCAATCAGAATCATAATTAATTCAGCCAAAGAAAGGCACCATAGACCACAATTACAACAACATTGCAAATCATGTGCTGCTACACCCAAGTGCTTAATGGCTTTAAAATACTCTACCAGTCAGCAATCGCATTGCGAAATGCACCACAGAGCAACCACAATTAAAAAAAATATTGTAAATCATGTATTGCTACACACAAATGCCAAAATTCGAGTGTTGGAAATTTTCAGCAAATGAATACTTCACCTCTTCCCAATTAAGGAAGCTAGCAGTAGAAATGCATTTCTATATTAGTACAGTTAGCTTATTTCAAAAGTATATTAGTACAGTTAGCTAAAGGAAAGCTCAGCTGAAACACCAGGGAGAAATCAGAACTAACCTCTGAGAGAGCAGAGATAGCTGCTTTTCGAATGCTGACAAGGGGATCAGAACAAGCAATACCCATCATCTTCAGCAAAACATCATCGAAAGAACCACCTAAGGTAGTTGTCAGCTTAGTAACCAGAAGAAGTGCAGCCTTTCTCACTGCAGCCTTCTCATCCGCACACCTTTTCCTCAAAAGATCATTAATCCCCTCATTTGAATGATTGCCAGTAAAAGCAATTGCCTCCTTCAAAACCTCCCTGTTCTTCTCATCGCTTGACAAAAACCCTGCCACCTGAGTCAAGTTTGAAAGGGCTCGAGCTCGAATCCCAGCAGTTGAATCCCCACAACGTTCGATTATAGCCTGAAGACAAGCCAGCTTCCAAGAATGACTCCCTTCATTATCCAATTCCTCCTCCAATGAACCTTTCAATGCCATTACTAGTAGCGGAATAAGATCAACTGCTAATAGCCTAAGACTAACCTTTCCTTGAGTCATCTTCACCACATATTGCACAAAACCAATTTGATCATCAAATTCCATTGCTTTTACTATTTCCATGATGGCTTCCACAGCATATCCCCGAGGCTCGGCCTTCTCTGGCGCCTTGTTCGCCAAATACTTAGGAAGATTAACGATGGCTTTCTTCACTCCAGCACTCTCCTTCGACAAAACCATCATTTTCTTTGACACGAACCCTAGTGCAAAACTCCTAGCCGGCGATTTAGACAATAGAATTGACGATGTCAAGGACTTCAATACCTCTCCAGCAGTGCTTGCCGGATCGCCGTGCTCACTCCCTAAAATTTTACCTAAAATGCGTGAAGACATATCCACTAATCTGCTAAAAGATGCAGAAACACCGTAGAATTCAACCGCCGTTACAGGAATTTCACACATAGTTTGCACCAAAGACTTTAAACAATCAGGAAATCTATCCAGATGAACCAAACCAAGAACGGATTCCAGTTTCTCAAGCACACTGAACAACACTCTAACATCAAACTCACGCTCCTCATTTTCGTCCCCGGTCCCGGTCTCCAAATCCCTCACGACACTTCTCGAGCCCCTAGACCTCTTCTTCCTGTTCGGTGGTGGCCCGCGGGAGTTGCGTCCTGTAGTGGACTCCTCGCGCGGGACCGCCGGAGAAGGCCGGTGCTTGAGGGAGCGGCGAATGGAGCGGAGGAGAGAGAGAAATGCCATGGGGGTGAAAAGAGTGAACACCGGGGAGTTGGGAGCGAGGAGGATAGAGAGGTAGACACTGGAGGACAAGAGCGAGAGGTGTGTGGGGCCAGAGTCCATGGCCACCGACATGGGAGGGAGGAGAGAAGTCGGAGAGAGGTTCTTAGAGGAGAGATCGCCATAGAACTGGTCAATGATGTCGGGGTCATTGGTGTCTACCAGAGACTGGAGATCCAAGAGGGTTGATTGGGAGAGGAGTGACGGTGATGAAGATTGTGATAGGTGAGTGCGGGGGTTTGTAAGGTTTTGTTGTTGATTCTCTTCAAGCTCTGCGATGATTCTTGATATGGAATCCGCCATGGATGCTTAAACGCCAGGGTAAAATGAATTTGATACTCTTATCACTGTTCCCTTTTCGCTCCTGAGGTTTCTTTTGAATTTGTTTTTAAAAATGTTTTTAAGAAAAAAAGAACATTTGTCATTCCCGCTAAACAGATATAACGTGAGAGGATTTCTCTTAAAAATTAAAAATAAAAATAAAAAAACAGAAAAGGATACTGTTACTAAATACTATATTGATAAATAAATATTTTTAAATATTTAAACTATTATATATATATATATTTTCCATCTATCTTTAAAAAATTTGGTAGATTAATTTATGTCTATTAAAAATTATCAATATTAGTAGTAAATTTGCCACATTGTAGTAAATTAAATATATTATTAATTTTAATTGAATAAATTTATACATCAAATATTTCTTTCCAAAATATTAATATTAAAAAATAAATAAATTTTAACTATTTTTATTATAATATAAATTTAAAAAATTAAAATTAATTTTCTAAACTTTTATATAAAGACACCAATATAATCATTATGGAAAGATAAAAGGTCAGGGTAAAATATTTATTTGTCCAATTTGCTATTATGTAACAAATTTATTAGTTATGTTAATTGTATTTTATGAGCAAAAATAAAAATATATTTAAAAAAAACAAATGAACTAATAAAATAAAATTTTAATATACTACGATAACTAATTTACTATCTAAGACATAAAATGTAATACTCTGTCCTAATAATGGAGACGTTATCGTACCCTGTTATTTCACTTCAAGACAAACATGTATCATGCAATTAGCGCACATCATTTTATTCATCAAATTGTACAAAACCTCTTTCTAGTAACGCTTAAAGAATACATGATCAATCAATATGACTCTCCATATTGTACAATTCTAGTCTCAATTGTAATAATGTGTATACATCATGTTCTTATCAAGAGAAATATTTTATACTAATAATCGCTTCCTCGTTAAGTAGTATGTTTCATTACTCAATATTCTGCTTTAGTCTCCTATTTTGACACATG